CTCATACAAATGTCATTCCATAATTAAAATTGGTTGAAGTTATTCGTTGTGTCATGGACAACAATACAACAGGTTACTGATTTATAAAAGCTTACATCGCCGGGATAAGGGGATTCAGGTGGTCCATAGAGCCTTGAGAACTCAGGCATACTATTCACGGAGCCCCGATGCACTCCATAGGCATCAAAATCCCAGAAAGAGATGGGTGGAAAGACATTAGTGGACAATGGATTGGAATCACCATCACCGTCCAAATCACAACCAGCATCCTCATCACCGTCAGCGTGATCAGGTAGGCGAAGTTGGTAGGCGGGTGGAGCGGAGATGTCTGTTGGCCGAATGATGCAATACATCCCCCGCTTGGTGGCATCTTCGTAACTTGGAAGCATTGGAGGGCCTTTCAGGATCTTCGGTGGCCTATAAGAGAAAAGTGGTTAGATTTCATTTCAGCCCAAGAGATACATCCTTTGAATTAGAAGACTCTAGGAATCGCTTTTGCTAATGAATTAATCTCAAACAGAAATCCATATATCTGCCTCATACATCTTGGTAAGATTGTTCAGAATCAAATTTCCATCGATCAATTCCTGGTTTAACTATTCACAGTGCATAATATTCGTTTAATTTCGACTTTTTGAAGGAAATTTTTAACAATTAGAAAGATTTCGCGATCTTGTCACTTTCAAATACCCTCAATGTCAGTAGGAACGTCTTTAAAGTTAATCAATCAATTAACCAGTGCAACATAGGCAATTACAGGAGCCCCATTTAAGATTCACATAAATGTGAAAAAAAAATTATTATTTTTCCATGGGGTTGTGTTTATTTGAACTTGAACAGCACGTGGGGCCTTTAAGTGGCTTCTAGTGGTGATAAGGCAACCTCCACAACCGATTCCAAAAGTAGCACAAAAGAATTTAAGAAATTCTGAACGAACATTTATCGAAGGTTTGTGTTAAAGGGTTTAACCTATGATCTAAACCGAACAATACTCAAAAAAAACTTGCTTGTTAAAATAATTACAAAACAAGACAAGTTACGAATTTCATCACGAAGACCTCCTTGAGGCACCGAGTTAAGAAACGAGTGTCGTGATAATGCGTAGAATATGACTTATTTTAAGATATTAGTTCGAAACCCGTGGATGCTTACACAGCGTGCGAACGGGAAAAGTTAAGAGATTCCCAAACAAAATATCAATATTTCTTTCAATAACACTCGATAGTACCAAGAGGTGTCTACAACCTTAAATTTACTTTAAATTAATTATAACTATTCAAATCAAAATCCATTTTATTTCGCCTTGATCTCTGCCAAACAAAGAGCCGGCTTATTGGGCAGTTATAGATATTTGTTGAAATAAAATAAAACACAGGCAATAACGGGTGTCATCAATAGATGCAGCTATTGTTAGACAGTCCATATAACGATTCCAAGATGAGAAGGATGTATACTATTAAGTACATTCGACGAAGTATTAGTTTCGCTAAAAAAAATGCTTATTTACTCACCAGAACATCTTAACACGTTTCTATTGGCTAGTAGATGAGACAAATGTAGGGATGGGGGGGAGGGAGGGAGGGAGGGAGGAGAAGTGACCGACCCTTTAATTAACTCTGGAAATTAATTATTTCTAGACCTTGTGGGACACAGACCGATAATAGGCACCTGGAGATTAATTCTTGAATATTTCAACATCGAAAAAGTTGATAATGCTCCAGTGTACAATGCCTATTAGGTGGAAAAAAGACAACTGATGAAACGGGGGTTTATTGTCTACTCAGTCTTGACCATTTCTTTTGTATGGGAAGTGAACTAGGGTTAGAAACAGAGTAATACAGAATGCGCGTGCCAGGACGACAGGTAAAAATGAGACAAGACAGTACTAATCACTCATCAATTTCAGTGAAAAGTACATTAGAATGCTAGCACCTTCAACCCCCTCAGCAACGCCCCCTCCCCCACTCGTTCAATCTTGCGTCTTATCTTACTGCTAAATATGCATGCGTTCCAGACAACATCCGCGTTACGCCATGAAGCAATTTAAACTGTGACTGTTAAGACATAGAGTTGGCCTTTAATTTACGATTCCACATTGACAATTTACCAGTGCCGACTTATTAATAAATATGAGAGCCTAGTTAAAAACCAATTAAAATATCTTGGAAACGGAGTCAGGAAATTAAAACCAAATGTAGTATATCCACGTATGGGGTGCGCGATAGACTTACCTCCACATGGTACACCCTGGGCAACGTATACTCTTACGGCGGAAGAGTCTACAAACCGGCAGTTGACTTCTGACTTCAAACTACCATGTCCCGACTATATGTCGCATTCTACCATTTCCTCAGAACTCACCTTACCTTTTTTCTTTACTTTTGTGTCTGTCTCATTTACCACTGTGAACCACTCTTCTGCTCTCCCCCCCCCCCCCCCTCCTTCTCGACATTTTGTGCCTTTAATGTTCCTCCCCTCTATGAAGCCCGGTGTCAACTAAAGGGCTAATTATAACCATATAAATATTACCACGTCTTGGCGAATTTACAACAAACTAAGAGGAACTTAATTCAATGAGTTTGTCGAGGAGCGGCTCCCATGAGGAAAGGAGTAACTTGAGAAAGTACAAGACATCGCCTTTTTACCCATAAAAATCGATGAAATAAACAAACTATTCGTTACGAAAGGAGGAGAAAATGAAGGGGAAAAGGTAAGAGACTGAATGTGAACGCTAAGTACCTACTCATTGCTTGATCGCTAAATACACAAAGTAAAACAAGTGCTAAAATAGATTTTAGCACTGAAAGCCAATAATCTCCATTGATGGAATTCGCAATCTTTCATTTTGCAGACGTGCGAATTACTTATATGGCATCGATTTACCTATAGTCAACTGATATTTTTGCATTAAGGCCCCGCCCTCATTACTTCCTTACTAAGTACATAATTTGACAGATACCCCGTTTTTTGTATTTCTGAATTATTTCCGCAAGAGAGTACTGCTAATGAAAAACTGCACTATGAGTAGTAGATGTGCCACCGGGCACTTAATGTCCAGCCAAATGAAAAACTCTCTTTGAGACACGATGATCTTAGTAGGATTGGTTACTTCCATTTCGTCAAATTTATCTCGTTTTTCTAAGGAGTAATTAGAATATTATGGACAAGAAGCTACAAATAAAAAATGACTTTATTGACAGACAAATTTAGAAACCAATTATCACACCCAGTATCTGAAATTCGGCCTCACATTCATCCTCTCATCCTCCGTTCTCAATTTACGGTCAAGTCATCTGGCCAACGCGTGGAAGTAGTGAGTGGGCGGACATATAGACCCAGCTAATAGACCGTGTAATGTAGCACCGCGACATTTCAAACTCCCACCTCTATTTTAAGAAAATCCCACCCAGATGACTCACTAATTAGGAGTGAATGCTGAGTAGTAATCAGCTGTGAGAGGACAGTCATTGGTCACCGCTGTTTCAAGAAGGAAACCAATAGAAGGTGTGATAAGCACACTTAATGCCAACAATTTAACATATATATATATATATATATATTGCTATGATCCCTTTTTTATTATCAAATAAATAGTTAATTTGGGATGAAGAGGGGAAGTCTATTCTCCTCTACCCACTCCGTTCGAAGGGCAATTTTTACTGAGAAATGACAACAAAATGGTTTTTAGACGGATAAAACAAAATTATATTAAACAAAAGTACTTTTGGAGAACAAAAGCAAGTCTAACAAAAATGTTGATGGGCAGTAAATTAAGTCACAAAATTAATATCGTAAATTCAGGCAGACTACCCCCCCCCCCCACCCCCCAACTATTCTACCATACTTATGGTCTTTTTTAAAAGCTGATCTTAACAAAGGCACAATTTTAAGCTGTATGCTTGATTCGACCTGCGAACTAATCTGATTTGATTAGTCAGTTAAGCCAACCCTGTGACACCAACTACCGCCAAAATGTCAAAGCTATTTACTTTTTTTATATATTGATAACATCTAAATGAAAGTTAACTGAGCAAATGCTAGTCATAGAAATGTTCAAATAATCTTTTTCTTTTCATTTAAGTAGTGAAAGAGGTGCTCGCCTTGAATTAGCCAGCAGCTAAAACGTCATGAGAGTAAGTACAGTAAAGTCATGTGTGATGCAAAAAATCACATAAACAGTCACCACTTGTTAATTGCATTGAATTTTTCACTTTGAGCCTACAATAAACACTTCAGTGTAAAAGAGAGAGAGTGAGAGTGTGTGTGTGTGGAGGGGAGTTGGGGGAGGGGGAGGGGGGGGGGGGGGGGGGGGGGGGGGGGGGAGGGGTAATTAAGTACCATTTGGAGGGTGTGCGACTAGTAAAGTAGAACTTAAGAGGCTAAAGTTTAGGCTGTAACTATGCGCGAGATACCCCCGGTCAAATAAGTTTGAAGGTAACCAACAGGACAGATAGATAACACCACACCATCGAAATCATACATAACATATGAGCTCAAAAGGATTGGCCAATAATTATAGTTGATTTGAGACACGAGTATTGCCTTACTCCTCTGGGCATATTTATTTCCGTATATCCGAAGGAATTAATTTAGAACTCAATTCCAAAGGTTATTGGATAAACAACTTTTCATGGATAGTATCGGTTCCATTTTCATATCTAAGAAATTGGCTTCAATTCATTCACCAAGCCTAGGTCAATGTATGTTTATACGCCGAATACACAGACAATTAGTCAGTCTATTTGCCTTACTTAAGCATATTGTTTAAAAGAAGCATCTAAGGTCATCCGCAAGCTTTGAACACCACGCATTTTCTTCTCAGAAAGAAATTTACGAAAATATGGAATTAAATCAGATCGAGTTTACACAAATTGGAGATGGAATTCAACTTGAGTGTATGGAGAGTAGTAACTGGAATTTCCTGCTCTAACTTTTTAATTAACCAGAATGGCAGGTACTGGTGCGACCCTTCTTCTCAGTGTACAATTCACGGATAAAGTTCAGTATGAAAAGGATTGATTAATGAAAGACGCCATGCGGATTGAAGTTTTCATATTTTCAGAAATGAAATATATATTGCAGTACGAATTAAGATTACTTGAATAATTTACGTACCGGGGAAGGGGTGGCTGGTATTCCACAGGAGGAGTATCAACATGAGGAATAGCAAGGCACGAGAGTCGAGACAACTCATCCTCACAGCCAGTAGTAATTACAGTTGCTCCTCCTCCTCCTCGATCACCCTGATTGGTGGAATCTGTGCTCAACGGATCACTATGACCAGGCAGGGCAAGATCGCCTTCATGAATTACCGACAAGAGAGCTGGAGTATGACCTGCCAATTCCTGCGGTTGGGAGAGTAGGGCTTCAGAATCATTGAAACCTGCATTGACTCCACTCTTAAACAAGGAAAAAATCAGAGTCAGAAACGTGATACTCTTTGGTGTACTTAAGAAACTTAATAAAGTTCACGAGTACTTGAGTGGGGATACTGCTCAGTAATTAATTGTAAAAGGGCATACAGGATTGATATTAAATAAAAAAGTATAAACGTCGAACAGTCGGCAAACGGGACTTCATTCTTAATGACTAAGGGGGGGGGGGGGATTGAAACGATTTCTAATTACCACATTTTAATTAGTCTAGTAACGGAAACGTTAAAACTACTTGAAATAACATTATGAAATTAATAAACCGAGCTTATTATATGAAACGAGCCAGACAGACCAATAATGAAGGTATCTAAACAGGAATAAAAAAGTCGTACTTTTATCCACAGTAGGCTTGATAAAGACGATTACTTATCGAGACGTGAATAATGATTATTCACTTTAACTAAATTTCTCTACTATTATAATCCACACTTATAAGCGCAAAATTGTACAAATTAAAGAATTAATTCCAAGCAAATTGATCAACCAGTGAGGATGAAAATAGCACAACTTCGATGATCTGAAAAGCACGTTCCCTCAATTAAGATCGATATTGGAAAGTAAAAATATTTGCAGACTTTAGCTCATAAAAATCGATATTTATTGCAGCCGTTCCCTGATTGGCTTCAAACAACCCAGCCCCCAATCCAACAGAACGTACACACCACAACCCGGTTAAAGTCTTAAAGATAAATAGGCATTAAATTGAGCAAAGAGGTCCCGAAAAAGCATTGCCTTTTCAGGACAGGAAGAGTCGAACGTCACTTTCTTTTCATTCCCGAAAGTACAATTGAGAAAAGCTATGCATCCCCTCTTTTCGATGACACGCGTCCATTTTGCCATCATTAAGTAGCTATTTAAGTTCCTTTAATCGAATGAAAGAAAACAAAAGAGGACTCAAACAATTCAGGAGATATGAAAAATTATCGCGTCATGAACTTCCTTCTACATTCTAATCTGTACGCTAAACATTGCTGAAAAGGAAACAGGTCCAATATGGAAATTTTTTGCAAGACTTGATCGGGTTGACAGAGGGTATTATGGAGATGGTCTTACAAGAAACTCGCATTGCAGCCACCCCTCTAATTTGAGGTCAATCAGTCAAATTACTGAATCCGCACCGATGACCCTAGGCTCAACATGCCACTGCACCACCAATAATATACACTGAGTTCTAATGAAAAGAATAATTGAATAATAATTCAAGAAGGGAAATTGTGCAAGTCTAGAAGGCTGATAGATCGTGGTTTATAGTAGCCAATCACGAGAATTTATACACAGGGGACTTCTATTTCGTTGTTGTTAAAACCAACTAACAAACACTCCTCTAAGATGGCATGCTAAAAAGTCATTAAGAGGCTAGTAACGCATTGACTTCGCTTTATCACGAATAGACCATGAAAAGGACAAAGTCCACTTTACCATTAATAAATCTAACTGTTATCAGCGCTACTAAATTATCTCTCTTTTAAACAAATGCTAATATAAGTCACCTACATCTATGCTAGTAAGACCGTATGTTGAAAAATGTAGAGATAGGAAGGGTAATTAAGGAGACTTCAACTATTTTTTTCCATCACAACTCATATATGAGCGGCAGTGACAATAGCATATACATAGATTTAACGAAATTGGTGAAATACAAAGTGATTGAAAGTGCCTTCCATAGGTGCAAAGAGCAACAAATGCTTCCAGTGTCCATCTTCCAGTTGCATTAAGCCTGGTAAAAGGCAAGAATGATTGAATCCCCATTTATCTGAATTTCCTCCTCAGTTGGGACTTCAGAGTAAGTGCCAATCTTGCCAAAAGGTCCACATTACTTCTAGTTGTAAAATGAAGAAGTGAAGATCCCGAAAATATCAAGGACCAAGCCTTCCCATTCTTTCACCAAATTTTTCCCGATGCAACGCCTGTCCGAATGTTAACATGTTGACTATACATTTATAAATGGTTGGATATACTCTAATATTATCATTGTCAAGACTTATTGCAAAGAACTTCAGACGTTTGAATGCTCAAGAACGTGACGAGTTATTGGCAAAGTGAAAAAATTCAGGGGCTATTTCGTTTGAGTACAAATGTGGTAAGAGAACGTTATAGAAGTAACTGTGATCAGATCAATGTAAAGATCACCAGGCAAATTCACTTAAAACTGGGACGACAAGTTCTGTAATTGTGTACCGAACAGTAAGAAGAAAGTGCAAGTAAATAAAGGTTCTACAGGGATTAATACCATCGTCTACAAAGACCGAGGCTTCAGATTCAATTCTCGTCAGTGTCCACTCATGACTGCTCCGCAAGGAGTGGCATAAATAGAGTTTCTTCCATAATGCTACCTCTGGAATGTCCTTCCCCAAAAGGATTCGAAAGTTGAAAGATACCTCGTGCTGAGAGTTCTACTCAGGTTCCTATTTTATATTGATTGATTTCGAAAATAAGAAGCTACTTCTCAACCGCTCGCTGTGCCACATGATGATAAGAGAACGCAGAGACAACAATATGACACTATAGCGGCAAAGGTAGCTGTGCGTAAAAGTTGCGCTTACCACATGAAAAAAAGAAAAGGAAGGCTAAAGGTGTGAAATTGTGTGTCGAAATCCCCTCACAGCGCGATCAAATCGATCACTGATGGACCAATTAGGTCTTAACCTATTGTCACTGCCTATTTATCCACCTCTTTTACTTGTCTCACATACTAAAACCAATACAATGAAATATTCTAAAGCAATCATAAGTACTTTAACACCCCCAGAAGGCCTTTTGTAAACAAAAAAGTTAATGCGATGCCAAGAATTTCAAGGTTGGAGAAAGCAGGTCGTTTTCATCCTTGATAAGTCAAAGAAAATAATACCAGAAATTATCAATAAACTTCAAGGAGAGTGGATGATGAACCGCGGCGAACAATAATAGGAATGGCAGAAAGTGGGTACTCATTCACAAGAGCTGCCACTCTTTATTCAAGCCAAATTTTTGTCAACACTTTGGCTAATGGGTTTTGTTGAGGTTTAAGGATTAGTTATCACTCGAAATGACTATTGTGCACTGACAAATTCAGCCAAATCATTGGTTCACGAAGGAGAGCACTTTGGGCACTACGAGGGAAATTCAATAAACTAACCACGTGCTGCAGGAATTGACATACAAGCATAAGTATATTCACACACGATCTCTACACCACTAACCACTTGAAATTAGTCATCTTTAAATATTTTCCAATCACTTCCAAGACCCTGAATTGCCAGATGTGTTACTACCTCTAAATGAGTAATGTTAACGTCTGTTGATTGAAATCTTTAAAACGGCTTCTTTCAAATGATAATCGAACTAGACAAACTTCTGAATCAAACTCAATCACAGCTACTAGTGTCTCGTGTTCGAACTAAAAGCAAATCTGAGTTTGTAACAAAGATGGAAGGAGGTAGTGGAAGTAAAATCAAGAACGAAAAATTAGGCTTTACTCGTAATACAAACTCGAAGTGACAAATTCCCTTCCTGGTAATAAAAAAATAGAATATTAAATTATAAGTGACAGTACCAATTGCCTTAGATAAATTTGAAGACCGAGTGAAAATCTCTAAACTCTAGAAAAAGAAAGCATGAACGCTATTTAAAAATTCATTACCACATAACACAAAAACATTTTCTATTTGCTTCCAAGCTTACAGTTTCAGCTCGTCGAGTAAATTCCTGCCTAGGAAGGATAAATAATCTATCTGAGGGTTCTGCAACATCTGCCTGTGTCCCAATGGAATTTCTATTACCATTCTCCCGTCGACGGTTCCTAGCTCGAGCCCGTCGTCTAGCGGCAGCTTGTCGTTGTCTCTGTGTTGAAGTACTTCCTGAGGAATTCCTGGCCCTGACGACGTCTGGGACATTTCGATGGCACACGCCAAGAAGCATAATAAGAACAAGGACTATAGAGAGAGCAGACATGCCTACTGAAAGGGAGACAAGGGGTTTTTCTCGAACCGCGACGGCTGCAGCTTTGCCTGCCTGGAAGGCTTGCTGTAACTGTCGGAGGGTGTAAATGGAACCGTAGAAGTAGGGAGGAGCCTCTTCCGTTTGTGCTAAATAAACAAGACCGCAATATTATAGTAAATCCTAACTTTTATGGTGTGAAAGCAGCTTGGTTCGAATAACAGAAATCTACCCAAATGAGAAAAGAATAGAAAAGAGCTCAGGTTGTTGAAGTACAAATAATAATAATAATTTTGCTACGGTTGCTCGGAAAAAAACTTTGTATCCAGCCATTTTTAGTTACTCTCGTCTTTTCTACCTTTGGGTTAAGTGGGAATGGGAAATTAATATCAATGAGAGAGATATTTTGTCATTACGTTTTTTACACCCAATAGCGCAATGTGGGCGTAATCTCAATTGGCATTAGAAAACACCAGCCTTGTGCAATTATAATGCAGAAGCTTGTTATGGGAGTGTAATTCACTACTCTGTGGCCCAAATCTCAAACTAGAATGTCTTATCGAATTCGCACCAACGATTCCCAATGCTGATAAATTGGTTATCTAATTGGTCATACCAGTTTAATGTAAAGTTTAGTCAAATTGACTAGAAATAGAAACTAGCTCATATGAAACAGGCACTTAGTTTGGTACAAAAATCGTAAAAAGATAATTAATTCAATATATTGATGATACAAATATATTCACATAGAATAAAGCTTAATATGCCTTCTCCTGGGTTGCATTGGTTAATTAATCTTTCTGTTTTCACATATAAAGGAAAAGAAAAAAATCGCAGTCAAAATAAATGAAGGGCAGATATTTTTTAAATTTTGCCCAAAGCAGAATGTTGATAGAAGAAAAGACAATGATTAACGCATGATAAACATAACTCAATCAGGTCTTATTATATGGGTCATCGAAAATAATTCCATCAATAAAATCAAGATTAGAAAATTTGATTAGTTGTTGTGAAAAAAATATTTGAAGGAAGATTATCAAAATTACCTGAAAAGCAATCATGTACAGGAGGGAGCCAGTAAAATACTTCGGTAGTCCGGTTTACCATGCATCGTGTTCGGACTAATTTCACTGAAGATAAAGAGGTAGATGACGAATTGGGATTGGGAGTGATAGTTGAAGTATCTTCTGATGGGCATTGAGCAGAAACGACAGAATAAAGAGTATGAATCTTGCATTTTTCCGGCGTACACTCCTGAACCCTAAGGTCTGGAACATCTGAATTTGGAAAAAGGCAACCTAACGGCTCCACATCCATTTAATCTAGGGCAAACAATTTAGATGGTAGAAAAGCTCAATTAGAACACAAATCTGCACAACAAACATGACGCGCTAATAAAATAGCAAAAAATAAGGTAGTGTATCAAGGATACAGTTACATAAAAAGGAAAAACAGTAGGAGAATAGTTAATGAACAGCATAATTTTCAATATATTAGTTACTCCAGGAAGTTTAATTGTTAAATTTCAGTAATAAAGAATCATGAAAAATTACTTAATATGTCTATTTTGTCTCGCTCGCCGGAAGATAATAAAGGTATGTGAAATCGATTAGAGATACCCAATCAAATAGCGACATTATTTGGATCTAGGTTGTTATGTATTCCCTTTAGTTTAGAAAAAGAAACGTTTCGTTTTCATCAAATATATGAATAAGATTGGAATAATGTTAAAATGGTTTGAAAATGGTGACTTTTATTGTAAATCTTACTATATTTAATGTAGAGTTTAATGCCCTAGAATTTACAAACAAGTATTTCGTACCTTAGATGATGGGCACATTTCCTCCTTTCCTTGTCTAATTTTTATGTGCTGTAAATTCTTAGACAAAAAAGATTGATTAAAGATACTTTCCGTTCTAAAACTTACTTTTAGCCATTGGTTATTTATTTTACCTTAATGTAGATAGAAGGAAAGCATAACTGATCAAAAGAAAATCTGGTCAGCTTGCTCTGATACACAAATTCCAAAAGAGTTTTATTTAGTTTCAAAGTTGATCTAATGAATTTTAATTAGCTGAATTATCATAATTAGTAACAAATGGGAATAAAAGGGACTTTGTATGAGTGCACATTGAACTGTCCTGCAATTTTGGAAAATCCATTTTTTGTTTCACCAAACAAAGTTCAAACATTGAAATTGTAAACCTGACCTCGCTAATATACCTCTTCCTCTTTGAGTTAAGAGAACATTAAGTTGCGAAATAATTCTAGTGAAATTAATTATTAGTTGCCCAAAATAAAGTAATTCAGTACTATCTTGCAATGAATCGTAGCATATTTTTGACAGAATAAATGAGGGCCATGTTTCAAAGGCCACTACTTATTTGCTATTTGAAATCTAATAAAAACTTGATGATCTAATTATTCTAAGCCTAGCATTGTACGGAAAACTAACCCTGACATTCTACACTTTTAATTTATTTCCTTTATATTAATAACGTCAAATGTATAAAGACTGATAAGTAACTAAAGACATAGGCATCATTTTCAGAATAGTTATTTTATGTTAACTCTATCTTAAATTTTAGTAAATTTTATTTTTGTTGTCAGGGAACACACTCTTTGCTTGTAATGGGAAGCATAAATTAGGTTATTCTTGCTGTTTTTACGACTTAAGTGTGTTCGGAATGGACTCCACAGCTTACTGAGAAAATTATCAAATGAATATAAAATATTTCTTCATATGATATTAGTCATGCTTAGTCGTCGTTGTCTATGCAAATACGCAAAACTAAACGGAAATTGGTGGTATGCCCTTGATAACAGCTTATCTACCAAATTCCTATCTGTTAATTGTTACCTGCTCCCAATTTATATGATAAAATCATTTTTGAAATTGCTTGAGAATTTACCAACCTTTGCATTTCAAAAGCAAAATGATGAGTATTTGGTCTAAAAGTTCCCTTACACCTAACAATTGAAGGTAAATCACCTGGAAATATCCCGAGCATCATTTCAAATGACAGTTAAGAGCTCTGTTCTACTGCTGTATATGTGACTGAGTGGGATAAGTTCAGAGTAGATGTATGTTGAGCAGCTAGCAGGAGAGCTAAATAAAAGCCAAGTCAATTTGGAAATAACTACAGTTAAAAAATATGAGATAAATAGAAATGACCATTGTGTAACGACCATTATTATTAGAAACACTATAAGGTGAGTAGTAATATACTTGAAGAATCGAAGTCAACGGTAATAAATAAGAACTTGTATCGACGCGAAAACACACTGCTATCCACTTTCCCAGAAAAAACACGGGAAAAGTTAGAGGTACCAGGTATGCTATTTTAATTTTCTTAAAATATTTTCAATGGGCCTACCAAAGGATGAGGAAAAACTAGAGGGGAAATGGAAATAAACCCTTCAACTGCACCATTTTTAGGTCTACAACCAACCGAGGAGAAACTTGCCACATCGATTGTAGGCATGGTAAACAGTGCTTTAATTTAAATGAACAAATTAAAATGTGCGGCTGTTCACTCCCGATAGATTTGAGGAAAACATAGCAATTAAATTTTTCAAACACGTATCCCATAATTCCTAAGACAGCTTCTACTCACAAAGTTATCAGTAGCGACTAGAAAACTAACTTAACTTATAATACCCTCAGGCCAGTGTCCTATAAGAAATCCCAAATTTTACTAAATTTGAAGCCTTGAATAAAGCGCCCAGATATTAGCATAGTAAAACGACGATTCAATCTGACGTAACTTTAAAAGTAAACAAGACAAGATTATAGGTCTACCTGGACCCACACAATATCTGGAACCCAAAGAAACAACAGAAAATGAAATAGACCATAAAGGGGAAACCACGCACCATCTTAATACCAAACGAGGAATAACGACTTTTGGTTTTAGTCTAAATTAAAAGAGCACACAATGGAGAATATTGAGGAAAACAATTTGTTAATATTAAGCAATAACATTTAAGGTTTGTATGAATACATGGGCACTTGGTCTCCTTTGATGAGCTTATGTTCAACACCGCTACTGTTGATAACAGCAAGTCGGATACAGCCACCGCTTGAGCCATCTCTGTTTATTGCCAAGCCAACACCTACAAATCAAAGGAAATTTTATAAAGCGAAATGAAACCATAAAACACAAACAAAAGTTTAGAAAATACAAATATGATTTTAATCTGAACGTTTATAATGCAGTAGAACGCAAATTTGATAATCGCAGTTAATAAAAACTCATTAATAAACTTACATGTGCTCACAAACTGTACAGCTTGCTCCTTAGTCATATTGGGCTTGAAGTTTATATCAAAATGACCATATAGAAAAGTACTCCCTGAACCTCCGATAACAGCAGGTTGTCTGATAAGCATACCACCAACTGGTATGGAGTAAATCTAATAGAGGTATTAGATACAATGTGGCTCAATTCCTTACCTGACCACCCAAAACTGAATCCCATCCAGCAACAAAAATACCGGCTAGGAGATTATCACGATGATTATAGCACAAATTATGGAAAATATTGGCAGCTTCAGCAACAGTTGGTTCACGACCCATCTGGACTGAATGAAAATCCAGTTGGTACCTTACAACATCAGCTGCTGCTTGGGTATCAGCAGCACTACCCGAGCGACAACAATAAATATACTTAGTCAATGGTGTGAGTTTATTAGTTACACGATTTGCAACATAGACACTAAAAATTGATACGTTTATATGGAAACAAACCCTGTGGAAGTTCTTGAGTCAGCCCCAATTACCACACCGCCATTGTATTCACAAGCTACTAAAGTTGTCTAAGGAAAATAACTTATCAAGCAAAAATTAATTACTCCAGTCCTGACTTCAGCCTTTGACCAGTCGGGGTACTTTTCATATGATGGCACGGCAAAGCCTGTACATTCAGCAAAATCCTCCATATCCAGGAGTGAGCAATGGGATTAATACATGAAGGTTAAGTTAAATGTAGATAGCATAGAGAAGAAAAAAGGAAATCTTAAAAGTATTTTGTTTTATTATATGATAGAAAAATTTTATATTATATTATTTATTAAATATTCCAACGATACTATTACAATGCATTTGATAAATTGAAATTTACGACTTTTTAACAAGTATATTTTACTTCAACAGAAATTTATTTTTGCTTTCAGAATGTAAATATTTCCGTTAAAGTTCTCGAATATGCTTGCAAGCTAAGTGGTAATATGCGAAATATTGTAAGAAATAGGCACAGTTAATGCGATTTTATTTCAAGCGTGTTTTTGACATAAGAAATCATTGAGAAAACACACATAATTTTAGATAAATTATACTAAGGGGTCAATTTTCAAAAATTTCATACGGTAACAATAATTATCTCTGCTTAAATACATTTCATTTAAGCAAGTTCTATCAAAAGGTATAGAAGAATGATTTTTTAGAAAACATTTTTAGATGCGAAAAGTATTAAAGAAGATTATATTCTCACCAGTCATTTTACATAATGTATAACATAATCAGTTTGTCATAAAAAGTAATTTAGATTTATTTAGTGTCTTATTTATATGTTTATATTTTGCATTGCCCAAGAAAGCATACCTGCAAAACAACGCTTTAAGAAAAGCTAGATGTTTGAAACTTCCATTCTCATTATTTAATTTTTATTCCTAAATCGGACCTTAAATGTGATAGTACATTTAATACAAATAAATGTTATCATTAACCTCAACTTTTCAATTCATAGAATCATTTATTTCATGACTTGGGTCTAGTGTTTTTACTGATTAATTAATCTGTTTTGATCAATTTCTTATTTTGAGCGAACATGCTTTTTTAAAGAAAATTAAAATTATCAAATGTCTATGCTATTTTCCGTGACAATTATTAATTTTTGATCTCACCTTACCAAGGTTGATAAACTGAAATGCGGCATGCATCAACTTATGTTTATTGGTAAAGTCGAGCTTTAGCAATCCATTTGTGTATAACATATGTCTTGTATTTCAGTTCGGTTGTTAGCGCAGTTTCTCTTCTCACTAGTGAAGTACTAAATCTATGTTAAAATAGTGTTATTGACAAGTAAAAATGATAATTTTAGTTGTTTTCAAGGTTTACGTATCTGTTTTAAAACAAATTGCGAGTCCAATTTGATCAATATGTTGGGAATGAAAATTTTTATCCATTATATAATTAGTAAAAGTTCAATAAATTTTCTTAACTGTCAACGCCAATTATGAAATATAAAAAATCACTTTAAATGGAATGAATATGAATGCATGTTTGAAAAATATTATCGCACGTAAATCCAAGACTTATTTGTTTAACTACTCCACGTTTGACTTTGCAATCCCAAATACGTGAGCCAATCGCCTTTGGGTAAATACAATTCGTTGCAGCGTGCTGTATAAATTTATTTCTTGTATCATGCGTTTTAGCATAAAACACATGGAAAATGGTCGGATTCGATAAATCAAAATACCACAACCTTTCTAATGCGGATTTTATTGTTGCGGGTTGCTTTAGTGGGTTCTGTGGCAGAGCATGCGTTCAACCATTAGATGTGGTTAAAGTTAGATTTCAGGTATGTTCATGTACTTATTTTAACGTCCTCCATAGCTCCAAGTAGAACCTATCTCAGCATTTCAAGAATCTGCAAAATACCGAAGTGTCTTTCAAGCCATTAAGTGCATTGCAAAAGAGGAGGGATTTGCTGCATTTTGGAAGGGTCACCTTTCCTCGCAAATTCTTGCTGTTTCCTACTCCGGAATACAGTTTACCTCATTTGAGCTCTTCACAAGATGGTACACCTACTTAACCAAGGGGATCGAAGGAGATCCTGAAACACGCCAATCCATTGCATCGGCAGTCAATTTCACGTGTGGTTGTCTTGCTGGCGTCACTGCAGCAACCTTCACACAGCCTCTGGATGTTCTGAAAACAAGATTTATAGCTCAAGGGGAGCCACGTATCTATAAGTAGGTTGATCATTTTACTGCAATTTAAAGTCGCTTCTCGAGGAATCACATTTTATCCGTGTCTTCGTAGTGTATTTGAGCAGTCAATGTAAAATTTTTACTTCTAAGTTTTAGGTTTTTTTACTTAAGGGCACATGATTAATCTATGTTAGTAAGTAATTAGCTTTCTATCGTATTAGAGTAGTTCCTCGGACTGGAAGCTAGAAGTTGACTTATATTTTTCCAATATTATTGCCTAGTATTTATGTAATGAAGATAGCTTGTTTTCTTTCAATATCTGTTCTTTTATTATGAAAGGAAACATTATTTGAATCTGTTGAGCTTGGTTTGCCAGAGACATTGGTTTGTAATTGGAGAACGCATTGAGTGGTGCTGTGCTCCTCAGTAATTGAAAACATTATATTGACTTAGCGAATCTAATCGATTTTCATTTCAAAGCTGCTTTTGCTTTTGAGCTGTGTGTTCTTTTCCTCAACACTTAAAGTCGACATATTTAGAAACCTGCGTTATGCTGTTCGGAGCAGCTGATACAAAACTCGGGTTTTACACGCGAGTCTATTAAACTTGTTTTTTTTTCGAAATAATGGCAGCTTATTAAAAGTCTTAATTTTTTTAGGTTTTCTCTTTTAAATCTTTCTTATGAGAAGCAAATAGAACTTTGTCTGCTAGAAATATTGAACAGGGAATTATGATAGAAGCCATTCTAAACATCCTTATAATTTATATGACTCCAAGGAAAGGTAGCTTGTACTGAAATTCGTTTTGGATTTCCCTACACTTATCATACACAAGAGAGTTCGTTGAATTGTCTCTTGAACTTATCTTTATTAGATTTGATTTTGTTATTTGATTTGCTCGAGTTTTTTAACTATTTCTTGGAAGCATTAATTGAGAATGAGTAGCTTTGAGGATTTCAATTTCGCTTTGCCTTATACTGTCAGAAGCCTTTCATTTAACGATGAAGGGAGTAACGTAAGATATTCTGAGCTTCCTGTTGATCTTATCTTAACTTATTTAGCAATATTCGAGATGCCATAGTCAGTATTGCTCAAAAGGAGGGTTTTCAAGGCTTTTTCCGAGGACTCAGTCCATCCATCCTCCTCACGGCTCCACAGACTGGTCTCAACTTTGCTGTTTATAAGTTCACGGTGCATCTTATCGAACTGTGGGACACTCGGGTTCTGAAGCAGCCACCGATAGATCCTTCAGCAGATGTCAGTAAGTTACGAGGGTGTGCTTTATAATACTTAATTTTATTCTCCTAAACATTTTTCCCTTACATTCATGTTTTAAAAAACAGGTTATTTTGTACACCAAAGCATCAATATTTAAGCACTTAATCTGTGGGCTTTCAAAGCGAATTTAGATAGTCATTCTTATGACCATATGGGCTCCAATATCATAGTAATCCAAGTGGATGAAACCACCGGTTTGACACTCCTCATGGCAATGGCAAACTTCATTAATGTCACTCATGAATGGACATCAGAAATACCCGTTCTACTTCAAAGAGGCTCTAAAACATTTTCTCTTTCCAAAACATGCTGGTAAACACCTTTCAAGAGATAAGAGTAATATTGGGAACTTTTTTTATTAATGGCACTAGCCATGCATCTCTATTACCCGTTTTCGGAAATCAAATCATTTTTCAATACGTTCGATTTCCTTGATAGCTTCTCATTCGTTCTTTATTTATCCAACTCATAGAAGAGTAAAAACGAAAACTCATGTCTCAAATTACCTTATATAGGCTTGGATATATTGTAATTAGTTTGTTACCTGGATACCCAATAGTTACATCAGGAGCTTCTCCATATGTGATCTTAATTATTCATTTGTGAGCGAGGAAATCTAATGATAGTTGTAGATTGCGAGTTCCCTTCGAGTGCAACGACGTTTTTTATCGTTTCCTGAGTTCATTTTGCTTATAGAACTCTCCTCGTTAATGACTGTTTGTTCTGTTTAAATAAGCAGAGGAAATTTCAGGTTATTGAATTGGAAAATTTCGCTGGGTTCAAAGTTTGGAATTTAAACTGTTATTAGCTCGGCGACTTGCTTGGTGAGGGTAGTTTCCTCCCTCCTCCTCCTCCACCCAAACCTTTATTCTATTAGTAGGTAACTTTGAAGTGATTTATAAAATGTGCAACAAGTCGAAGTAATTGTTTTTCATAACTGATTTCCATGACAACTACTCGAACTTCTAGTAAACTAATCTTTAACCTCTCCAGTACTCTGAAGGTGTATAGAGTCAATTGTAATTTAATGTCCTGGAGAATCTCCATGAGGAATGTCTACATGATTGAACGTTTTCATCTTCATTAAATGTGCTAATTAAACTTGTACTTTTCTCCGTCCAATCCAATAGCCGAATGTCATCTTTACTATTTGAACTGAATAGTAAATATTGAATTGCGTAGACCTCCGTTAAATCAGATTGTACTGGGTGTGGACTTCTACAGCAAATTGCCATTTGCAGATGTCAAGTTGACAAGTTACCTTAATCATAGAAAAATTCCTAAGAAGCCTTCGTTGCAATTGAACGTTTTTTATAATACCGTAAACAATCTTCATTTTTTTTGTAATAATTTGGGGGAAGGTAGTTTCAGTAAATAGTAAAACACCCAGAACAAGAATTTTGTATATGATGTTGATCTGCATCGTCAATTACTATAGTTTAGTATATAGTAGAAAATATATAAATAGATAAAGCGCTTTCTCTATGCTTGTTTAAATTAAAGTTGCGTCAAATTTTAATTTCAGGCATGGCTCGAAGTGTTACTGCTGGCTCTGTGGCTGGAGTTGTTTCTAAGTGCCTGGTTTACCCCATGGATGTCGCCAAGAAACGGCTCCAAGTTCAGGTATGTCAATTGTTCTGTACTTGGTAAACGGATTTCTTGTGTGTACTTTTATCCACTCATCATACTTACTGTGGTGAGTTCGTCACGAATACGAGTAATTGTGTGGACTTTAGGGTATTAATATATGGTTAATCATTTGTTCCTAGTCTGTCTTAGCAATATACCCTTCCATAATCATTCTAAGTACCAATGAAGGATGTTGTTGAGTTGAGTTGTATCGCTTTTTATTGCTTATTTAATCTCTGAAATTGGTGTAATGGTATGGCACATTTCAAAGTTGGGTTTAGAGAAATCAGGAAATCTTAAGCTGTCAATTTTTAAGCAGCCTAAGTTCTAAGGCTCCTTTGTTTTAAAGCCTATGAATTGCTTAATTAATAATTTATAATTTCTTGTGTGTATTTGTTTTATTTATTCTTTGTATTGAAGGGGTCAAGTGATTCATGACTCAGTTTGATTTACAAATCCGATCAAACCAAATGAATAGCATTGACCACGTATATTTCCTGGAATAGTTTTCTGGTGAAATTTTCTTCACTTATTCCATAATTAGGCGGAAAAGCTTCTCTTTTAATTAAACGATGACGCCCTGTTATAGGTAGAACGAATTCGGAGTTAGAGTAGTCCTATGCTTGGCACACGGAAAGATGCTCTTCACACCAGTCTGCCTTCTTTAGTGCCGCCTAACTTTGATTTCCTTTAGTCATGCCAAGGATAATTGCTATAACTGCTCTCAATGTCTGAGCAACTCATGTCTTTTTAGTGTTGTTCTTCTAACTCTAATTTTTTAATAACTGAGCAATAATGCAATCAGTCGGTAGTTTCAGTGTCTAATTTTGTTATGACAGTATTTGTTAAAAATTTGTTAGTAGGGCGATCAAATGTGGGAAACAAGGGTACGCAATTTTTTTTCGAATTTGTTAATGAGCAACACATTTCATTGACATTGTTAAGGGTAAAAATTACCAATCCAAAAGTGTGCATAGAACACGCGAGACAGACATTGCTTATCGTGCTTCTCCTTCATTGGGGCTTAAAAGCCTCAAAGATGATTAGTCATTACTGAAATTGATGATCGAGTGCTTACAGTCTGTCAATGTGAAATTAGGTTTAACAGATTTAAACCGTGCAATAGACAAGCACATAATGCGCGCCTCGGTTAAATATTTTTTATCGCAGAAGCTAACATGTCCATGATCAAGCATTCAATTTCATTTGAAGCGCATCGACTAATTGAATGAGATGTGAATGTGGTCCCATCCTCATCAACTCTCCCGTTATAACAATTTTCAATAAACGAGGGAATGTCTTTAACCAAACTTTTCCTTTTTTAATTGCAGCTAGTATTGTTTCTTACGTAAGCGCAAGTGGGTTCTTTTTTAATCACTGGTGAGCCTTAGCGTAAAGGAACTAGCAAGCTAGTCAATTAAGTTTAAAAGGAAAAGGAGCTTGGCAAGAGATAAGTACTGGAGTCGGGGAATCAAAAGTCCTAGTTTATTTCAGTTCTTGGCGAAATACGTTTTTTATTCTTGCTTGACGTTTATGTGTCTTTTGTGGTTACTCATTAAAGCTTTTTACAGTAGGGAAAGTGTTTTTCCAAATTTCGTTTTTGTGTAATTTTGTTCAAGTCACCTTATTTTTAGTTGGTTTGAATGTATACCCAAGGTCAATAGGTATTTCTCTTTATTTTCAGCATATTTATTTATATCAAATGGCAGGCGTTTTGATAATTATTATTAGCCCTTCAGTTGAGTTCAGGCTTCACAGGGGGGAAGAGGAACATTAAAGTGAAAAGAGTCGAGAGGGGAGTGATATAGAAGAGTGTTTCAAAGATGTAAAAGAGACAAACGCCAAGGTAGAGAAAAGGGTAAGGTAAGTACTGTGGAAGGGGTTGAATATGACATATAGTGGGGTGATGATAGTTTGAAGTCAGAAGTCAACTGCCGGTTTATAGACCTTATTTTGCCGTATGAGTATACGTTTCCAGGCTGCACCACTCGGAGGTAAGTCCCTCGTGCACTCCTCATTGGGTAATATAATGGCCATCAGTTAAAAAATGAAAATTCGGATAGACACAGATTGTAAATTACTCTTCAAATAAAGGCACGCCAGTTCAAATAGTTCTAAATTCGGATAAAATTGCTGTGTATTTTTTAGCTGTCCCCTTTACTCATTTTATGGCTTCATAATGATTCTCGTTTCTCAGAGATGCATTCTCATAATTACGTTATAATTTTTCACTTATTAAGCTTTCATTATCTTGGAGTAAGCTTTTATTTCTATTGAAGTTATTTATAAATTGACCTAGGGCGATATCCACCTATTTTAGGGGTGGATAATCAGTAATCAGTGTACGTTTTCATTTCACATGTCTCTTAAGCAAAATTTCCCCACTTATTTAAATTCAATCAATTTTTCGATAGGGTTTCGAAGATGCTCGAAGTTACTTCGGTCGCCCACTTATAGTTCGAGGTCTACGTGATTGTATTGTGAAGACCTGGCGCAATGAAGGCGTAGCGGGATTATTCAAAGGTCTTCAACCATCCATATTTAAAGCTTGCCTCTCAATGGGATGTCGATTCTCCGTCTACGAAAAGAGCTGCAATTTCCTCTCGCATCGGAACAAAGCCAGAGCTGCAAAGCCTACTGCGTAGTGATAATTTGAGTCATCACAGATTATGATCTTAGTATGAATTTGTGAATTTACTGTCTCCTCTTGTACAACCCCCCAACCCCCCCCCCCCCCTCCTCTCCTTAGTTCTTGTATTGCTTCCAAATGATTGATGATGATGGAACATACATTGTACTATTTTAATGGACTCTTTCTTACTTATCCATTTTATGATTCGCGTTTTTTTTCAGGATTTTTCTTCCCTATAAATCAGCAAACAAGCATTTGGTCTCCCTAGTAAGTGGTAGAATTATCAGAAAACGCTTTAGTCGGGTTACTTGTGTATTTAAATTGGACATTAGCTTTAATTTTTATTTATCGCATTCGATACAGTATTTCAGTGTCAAAATGTTGAGTTCTCATAGTTCTACATAATGCAATCCAATTAGTGTTGCTTATTTTTGAAGCTTATCCGCTTTCGAAGGAGAAGTAAAGGTACTTAAGATAACACTAGACCAATTATGTTGCCTGGATGCGAAATTCATCAAAGCAGTAATTCTTTCGGACTCACAGTCGGCAATAAACTCAATTGGAAACAGAGAGCCACTCAAAACGGCTGAGGTATACGAGTGTATAAAAATTCAATCAGCTGCTGAGAAAAACAAGACAGTGGTCCTACAATGGATTCCTGGACACTATGGTATTAAAGGCACTGGGCGTGCTGACGCACTTTCTAAGAAGGGGACAACAACTGTGCAAGGCATAGATAGGCCGATGTCTTTCCACACAATGAATACCTTAATCAGGAGAGAATTCAAGACCTCAAAGTGCAACGAACTTAAAGCTCGAACAAAGGAGAAATAGTGGACAGTGGCACTCTCCGACATAGCCATGAACCGAAGTCGTTGCTGTGTTTAGACTACGTACCGGACATGATTGCCTGGCGAAGCATCTTCACAGTTTACGAGTATACACTCAACCCACATGTCCCCTATATAACCTACAGGAGGAAATTGGGAAGACCCACCTGTCCAGCCCTAAAGACAACGACAGAAAGCCAGAGAAACTGGGAAGCAAGAAGACGGCAAATGAACTGCTATTAACTAACTCCTTTATGAAAGCCGAAGTTAACTAAGGAGCTAATGATAAATATTATTTATTTCAAATGGCAGGCATTTTGATAGTTATCATTAGCCCTTTAGCTGACTTCGGGCTTCACAGAAGGGAGGAACATTAAAGTGAGAAAAATTCGACAGGGGGAAAGAAGAGCGATTCGCAGATGTAAAAGAGACAGACAGACACAAAGGCAGAGAAAAGGCTGGATGAGTACTGTGGAAGGGGTTGAATATGACATACAGTGGGGTCATGGTATTTTGAAGTCAGAGGTCAGCTGCCAGTTTATAGACTTTTTGCCGTGCGAGTATACGTTGCCCAGGGTGCACCACGTGGAGGTAAGTCTGTCGCACACCCCTGATAAATATCATAAAGCCTACTATTCGAAATAATAATAGTAGTATTTGCGGCTTTGTCGGCTCAGTCAAACCAATTTTGACGTGTTCGCTGGGTCATATGGCGAAAAATAACTTTTCATCGTAATTAATCAATTTTAATGGCCACCTTCCTTTTGGTTCCATTTTCCTCTGCCTTATGAACGGTACCGCTTATCCCATGATCTGTGTTCTCAAGTAAATTACAGTCACTAGCCTCTTGTACTTCTTAAAATCACCTGAAGAACTCACGTCATTAGGTTTTCGTCTGGTTGGTTTAGACAACTCCACCGAGAATCTTCGGGCTATCGATACATTTGGAAGAGGATCGATGGAGATATGTGAGTGGCAAGTAACTTTTGGACACGAATGATAGTTGTTTGCATATACACTATTATAATTCATAGATTTTGTTTCATTTTGATTGGTCGCTCATTCAAATCAAAGTGCCTACGACTATTCTTCAGAGAGGCTGTGTGGTTGCAGCTAATTGTTGAAGTGCCCACTTCAAGTGGCCAGTAGCTTGCCTAAATGATGAAATATAGGATAGAGAAATACCAGCGAGTGGAATATGCGCACTCACTACTTACATCGAGAACATAGCAGTTGATGCGTATAAGGAGAAAGATGTGCAGATCGACGAGGTACTTTTGCAATCCGTTGTTGAGGTCTTCTGCTGATCGTACATCAGAGATCATCAACTTGTATTTGAACAGTGATTCGTGGTAGCAGACTTCCTACAACTTTCCAACTCTTCACTCATCAGCCTCCAATGACTAGGAGGAGTTGAAGTACAACTGTCGAGGGAGGCCATTTTGATAGGACTAGAGAGGTAAAAAGAGACAGACAGACACAAAGGTAGAGAAAATGTGAGGTGAGTACTGTGAAAATGATCGAAAAATGATACCCAGTTGTGCCATGGTAGTTTGAAGTCAGAAGTCAACTGCCAGTTAATAGACTTTTTTGCC